AAAAAACCCCACGGGGTCCAACGGGGCCAAGGCCCCCCAAGTCGGCCCCTCCCCAGCCCCGGGAACCTACACGACAGGCCCCGGGGCCGAGCCGTTCCCCCAAAGCCCCGGCTGTACCAGAAAACCGGGGCAGCCATGAAAACACTAAGGAAGGGAGCCCACTGGCAGACTCATACAACACGGCTGAAGGAACAGGCTCAAATGCCCCCGTCACTACCCCGGAAGGGGAATTCCCCGAGACCGCCCGAGTCTCAACACCATCAAAAACCCCGCCCCGAACCTACAGACGGTAAGGCCTTCAGACGGTAAGGAACCGGATGCAGGCAGGAAGGGTGATCCAGGGGAAAGACAAGGGGGCGTGGATGGAACCGAAGCAACCAACACCCCAAGTCCCAAAACGAACTACAACGGGGCAGCCCCGGGGCTCCCAGGGAGGAAACCACGAGAACGTTGCCACCACCAAGGCTCAAGTGCAACGCCCCTGCTGCCCGCACCCACTTTGTTAGCACAACTGGGTAACCGAGCCACAACGAGTAACCAAACTCGCAGGACTCCGGGTCAAAGGTGTCACCGACCCCACAGGCAGCAGACGGAGGCAAAACAGTGTGTCACCCAGAGACAAAGGGTGAGAGCAACCCTCAAACTCGCTGGAAGCGAGGGGGGGACTCTGGGGTCACATCCATCGGACCCGCGCGCCCCCAGGGGTTTCCCAGGGTCCCGAGCGTTTACTATAAGAGGACTCGCGCTCAGGTAATCCCAGGCAGGGTACTGCTAACCGGCACCCAAAGCTACCAAACAACTTTCTAAGAGCTGAACCCCTGGGACATCTACACTCACAGGGACCTAGCAGGGGGTACCACCAGAAAATACTCAGAACACAAGGGACACAAGGGGCAAGAACGAAGGCAGACCCCCACCAGGTAGATAAACAAAAAGAAAAAGAAAACCCCGCAAGAGGACAGCGTACCCAAGCGGAACAGAGCCGGCCGCTATGATTGGTAAAGACAAGCTGCACAGTACCCTGCGCCCCACCAGTGCAAAAACTGCCCCTTACTCTAAGGCGAACAAGGGAGACAGAACACCCGAGCACACAAAGAGCGGCCGAAAACCAAGCAGTAAACGGCCAAGCAGGGGCAGGACCCAAGGAACTTGTGGAAGGTGGCCCCAAGCCCCAAGGGCAGTACTTACAGGGCACCTAGGGAAGGGAACCCTAGGCGCATGCAGCCCGAGTACTGGAGAATCACTCCCGGCTCACGCACCACCTAGAAAACAGACACCACATTCTAGGTACAGTGCTGAAACAACCACTGGAGCCGGAGCACATAACCGTTGCCTATAGCATAGGCCGAAGAACTGATGGGTGGATAGCCGGCGTGGGAGGTCCAGCTCCCCCCTTCCCCCTCCCGGGGAGGGGGGAGCTGCGCAGACAGCGGCGCGGTGACGTAAGACATCATACTAGTTTCCTTGTTTTCTGTTGAAGAGTTCTATCCACTAGTTCGGCTTTAGGTAGCAATTTTTACCAGAATAGGGGTTTGTTTTGGAATGCTTATCTTTCTGGATGCTTGACCCGGTCGATGGCAGACATAGAATGTTTCCAACCACACGGGGGTTTCTATAGGCCATTGCTCCCCTTGCCTCTCTGAGGGGGCCAGGTTCTGGCCGTGGTCCCCGGTAGGCCCTAGAACTCCATACACATGACTGATGCCAAAGTCTGACATTAGCATATCAGCCGGTAAAGCTCCGGGGAGCCGACGGGGCTCCCCCCAGAAACTATTATGGACTTACTTCTATCTGCAGTGTTTTGTATCAGTTTACTGCTGGTTACCAGTTCTTTCCTAACTGTTTGCCCAAGATCCGCTTCTTGTATGTCATTTCTGGTTTTGACTTCCAAACACACTTCCTTAACCGTCTCTTTCTCTTTTACAACTTGCACACATGTCTCTTTTTATTTATTCTTTATACTTTTCTAGTTCTTTATTAGCCTCCTCTATTTGAGGTGCCAATGATGTTTCTCGTTGCATCTCCTTGCCTAACTCCATGTTAGCCCTCAGGCTCTCACACAATAAACATCACTGGTGCAAGAACTGAACCCTGTGGTACTCCACTTGTGACATTTCTCCATTCCGATACATTGCCTCTGATTACTGCCCTCATTTTTCTATCAGTCAGAAAATTTTTCATCCATGTTAGAAGCTTACCTGTCACCCCTCCAATATTTTTCAGTTTCCAGAACAACCTCTTATGTGGAACTCTGTCGAAAGCCTTTTTTTGGTCCAGATAGATGCAGTCAACCCAACCACTGGCCCAAGCTCTGCTTCAGGAGGCTGGGATCGTTCTTGCCCTTGCTGGAGTGGTTCTTCTCCGGCACTGACCACGACAGTCTCTGGGTTTGGAGTCACCGTGCCTTCTTTTACCAACTTCAAGGTAAACTCTGGAGCTGGAGCCCCTAGGGCAGTTTTTTGTTGCCTTCAACCTCAATCTGAAAGTTCCTGCGACGGCGCTGGAACCAGTTGTATTGGCTTTTGCCTTTCCATTGGAAACTTTCGGAGCCGTGGAGAGGAGGGAACCTGCTGCATGGGTGACAGGTTTTCCCCCGTAGCAACCTACCCTGGATTTGCACCCTGGAGAGGTCACTCCAGACCGAAAACCACAGTGTAACTCCATAGTCTCCTGAGACTGATGGATGCCTACTACTACCCATTCACTGCTGGGTGAAAAGCGGCAGGGGATTTTGGGTGAAAAGCGGAAGGGAAAATGCCGCGATTCTTCGCGGCAGGGGATCGTATTCCAGGGACCATAGGATTAAGGACTTGCCCGAAACGCTACGCATACTAGTGGCTGTACAAGAATGTAACAACTCTTGTATATATCTAAAAAAAAAAAAAAAAAAAAAAAAAAAAGAGGCTACAGTTAAGGATTGGCACCCGGTCAACGGGGACCGCAGACTAAACTTTAGCGCAAACTAGAACTAAAGTACCAAAAAGTACCATACACAAAGTAGTATGAGCTAGAACAATGAGCTGTGAGAGGACTATGGTAGAGTGAAAGGAAAACAGTGAGATGGAAGATAACTATGATAATGTGAGGGAGAACAATGAGCTGGGGGAGAGCCATGGCAGTGTGAGTGAACTGGGACATAAGTATGGCAGTGCAAGCCAAAACAGTGATCTGGGAGAAACCAATGGTAGAGGGAGAAAAGTGAGCTGGAGGAGAATTATGGTAGTGTGATGTAAAATGGTGATCTGTGAGATGACTTTGAGAGTGAGAGCCATAACATTAAGCTTGGGTAGAACTATGGTAGTTTAACGGAGAATAGTGATTTGGGATAGAACAATGGTTGTGTGAGGGACAACCAAGAGTTAAGAAATGACAATGGTAGTGTCTAGAGCAATGAGATCGGAGAAAACTATGGTACTGAGAGCTGGGAGGTAAGTATGGTATGAGGGAAAATAGTGAGCTGGGAGGGATGGATGGTAGTATGAGGGAGAACAGTGAGCTGGGAGGTAACTATGGTAGTGTGTGGGAGAACAGTGAGCTGGGAGGTAACTATGGCAGTGAGAGGGAGGACAGTGAGCTGGGAGGTAACTATGGTAGTGAGAGAGAGGACAGTGAGCTGGGAGGTAACTATAGTAGTGTGAGAGAGGAGCTGGGAGGGAACTATGGTAGTGTGAGGGAGAACAGTGAGCTGGGAGGGAACTATGGTAGTGTGAGGGAGAACAGTGAGCTGGGAGGTAACTATAGTAGTGTGAAGGAGAACAGTGAGCTGGGAGGGAACTATGGTAGTGTGAGGGAGAACAGTGAGCTGGGAGGGAACTATGGTAGTGTGAGGGAGGACAGTGAGCTGGGAGGTAACTATGGTAGTGTGAGGGAGAACAGTGAGCTGGGAGGGAACTATGGTGAGTGTGGGGAGAACAGTGAGCTGGGAGGTAACTATGGTAGTGTGAGGGAGGACAGTGAGCTGGGAGGGAACTATGGTAGTGTGAGGGAGGACAGTGAGCTGGGAGGGAACTATGGTAGTGTGAGGGAGAACAGTGAGCTGGGAGGGAACTATGGTAGTGTGAGGGAGGACAGTGAGCTGGGAGGGAACTATGGCAGTGAGAGGGAGGACAGTGAGCTGGGAGGGAACTATGGTAGTGTGAGGGAGGACAGTGAGCTGGGAGGGAACTATGGCAGTGAGAGGGAGGACAGTGAGCTGGGAGGGAACTATGGTAGTGTGAGGGAGAACAGTGAGCTGGGAGGGAACTATGATAGTGTGAGGGAGGACAGTGAGCTGGGAGGGAACTTTGGCAGTGAGAGGGAGGACAGTGAGCTGGGAGGAAACTATGGTAGTGTGAGGGAGGACAGTGAGCTGGGAGGGAACTATGGCAGTGAGAGGGAGGACAGTGAGCTGGGAGGGAACTATGGTAGTGTGAGGGGGAACAGTGAGCTGGGAGGGAACTATAGTAGTGTGAGGGAGAACAGTGAGCTGGGAGGGAACTACTGTATGGTAGTGTGAGGGAGAACAGTGAGCTGGGAGGGAACTATGGTAGTGTGAGGGAGAACAGTGAGCTGGGAGGGAACTATGGTAGTGTGAGGGAGAAGCAGTGGGAGCTGGGAGGGAACTATGGTAGTGTGAGGGAGAAGAGTGAGCTGGGAGGGAACTATGGTAGTGTGAGGGAGAACAGTGAGCTGGGAGGGAACTATGGTAGTGTGAGGGAGAAGAGTGAGCTGGGAGGGAACTATGGTAGTGTGAGGGAGAACAGTGAGCTGGGAGGGAACTATGGTAGTGTGAGGGAGAACAGTGAGCTGGGAGGGAACTATGGTAGTGTGAGGGAGAACAGTGAGCTGGGAGGGAACTATGGTAGTGTGAGGGAGAACAGTGAGCTGGGAGGGAACTATGGTAGTGTGAGGGAGAACAGTGAGCTGGGAGGGAACTATGGTAGTGTGAGGGAGAACAGTGAGCTGGGAGGGAACTATGGTAGTGTGAGGGAGAACAGTGAGCTGGAAGATAACAAACGCACCTTTTGGGAGGTGGAGGATGATGGTGTTGGCGAGGGGAACCCGGGTGTAGGAGGTGACGAAGCCGAACCTGGTGTGGGTGCTGGGGATGAGGTCGTCCTCGGAGAGTGTGTGTTGGTGGGCGACGCTGTACCTCAAGTCTCTGCCCCGCACCTGGTCCTCGCCGCTCACCTGCCGTACACAACCACAACCTTACACTCCAACATAACTTAAAGATTACATGTACATTGTGATCACTGTGTACCTGTGATCACAGTGTACCTGAGGTCACAGTGTACCTGTGATCACAGTGTACCTGTGATCACAGTGTACCTGTGGTCACAGTGTACCTGTGATCACAGTGTACCTGTGATCACAGTGTACCTGTGATCACTGTGTACCTGTGGTCACAGTGTACCTGTGATCACAGTGTACCTGTGGTCACAGTGTACCTGTGATCACAGTGTACCTGTGATCACAGTGTACCTGTGGTCACAGTGTACCTGTGATCACAGTGTACCTGTGGTCACAGTGTACCTGTGGTCACAGTGTACCTGTGATCACAGTGTACCTGTGGTCACAGTATACCTGTGAAGCCCATCTTGTGACTAATTGGCAGGTATTAACAAGGTAATTAGACTACACTCTACCACAGACGTTCAACAACATCCTGCACACAACTCTCACACACAACACAGTCAAGACACCAGAATGTTAGCAGCACTCTGAATGACCGCAACGCTGCCTGTAACTGCTGCCTTTATAACAATGCACCCACTAAGTAACTACTCTCATATCATCATTTGTATACTATATAAATACATATTATTATTATTATTATTTTACATCTAAACTAAGCATGCTTAACAGCAATGTCTGAGAATTACTACTAACTAAAACAAAAGTAATATTTATAATTTGGTAAATAAAAAGTGTAAACAAAGAATAGATTATATGCCTTGATAAAAAAAAAAAAGAGATAAAACAAAAATACAAAAGTATGAGATGGATGAGGAGTAAACAGTTCTGTGATTACTCTACTAACACGCTGACGAGACTACAACGACTATCACAGCAACCTGTCCTCTTAAAAAGAACGTCGCTTTTGGCCGTTTGCCCATATGGCAGAATTTGGACGTAATTTGAAAATGAAAAAAAAATGAAAATAAATTTGGGATTTTTTTTCAACAACAGTAAGTTAAGGGTCCTCTGATAGGATAGGTGGGCAGGAAATTCTCATAAAGTTTCAAAACGTTATGAAAAACGTTAATTTAAAGTGTCCTCATATAACCTCTGCACGTACGCCAGACGACTCAAATAGAAAACGGAACAGAACGTCACTTTTGTGAGTCGATTTCATTTCAAATTACTTCCAAATTTGGCCATAGCGCGCATACGAGCGAAAAGTGATGTTATTTTTAAGAGGACGGGTTGATCACAGTCATCATCATCCATGACACTTTCCAATGGTATGGAAATATTGTTGACTCCAATGATGTCGAGTCATTGCTGACTGAAGTGGTGTGAACACATTGTTACCTCCAATGGTGTCGAAATGTTCATAACTCAAGTAGTGTCTTCATATTTTTAATTCCAACAGTTTGGACACATTTGTTAACTCCTCTGGTGAGGATACGTTGTTAACTCCAACAGTGGACATACTGTTAACTCTATCGGTATGGTCATTTGCTGATTCCAGTGGTGCAGACACATTGTCAACCCTAGTGGTTTGACCCCATTGTAAACTCAGTGGTGTGGACACATTGCTAACTCCAGTGCATACTTGGAGAGGATTTCGGGAGTTCTTATACTCCCCGAGCCCGGCCCGGGGCCAGGCTCGACTTTTGATAACTTGGTCCAACAGGCTGTTGCTTGGAGCTGCCCACAAGCCCAAAAATGTGCCTGGTTGGCCAGGCACATTTTTGCAAGAACCTGTCCAAATGGCTCTTGAATACATCCACCTTTATTCCGGCAATATTTCTAATGCTTGCTGAATGTTGAACAGCTGTGGACCTCTGATGTTCAGTGTTGGCTGATTGTGCTTATGACACCTCTACTCCTCATTGGTTCTATTCTGCATTTCCTTCCATACCTTTCGCTCCAGTATGTTGTTATTCTACTGTGCAAAGTTGGGACCTGGCCTTCAAGTATCTTCCTATATATATTATTTGATACCTTTCTTGTCTCCTTTTTGATAACTTTCTTATCTCCTTTCCAGAGAACATTTTGAGAGCCTTGAGACGGTCCCAATTAATTAGATGTTTTAACGTGTCTATGCGTGCCGTATATGTTCTCAGTATTCCCTCTCATTCAGAGATCTCTCCCGCTCTGAAAGAGGAAGTGAGTACCGACCAACACTCAAGACGGAACAGTACCAGTGATTTAAATAGTACCATCATTGTTGTGGGGTCTCTGGATTTGATCGTTCTTATAATCCATCCCATCATTTTCCTGGCCACTGCTATATTTGCTCAAGTTATGTTCACTAAATGTCAAGTGGGCAGACATCATAATTCCCAGATCTTTTACATGTTGCTTTTCTTCTATGAGTAGGTCTGATTGTGTCATGTACCTTTGTTTCGTTAAAGTTCCTCATTTCCACTGTAGTGACTTCAGTACCCCCTACAACAGGGCAGAGATAAGGGAAAACGGCAGTGGAGCAATAGAGAGGCAACCGACCAACGAGGGAACAACAAGCAGATAGCCACGAGACCAGATGCTCTCTTGCTCTTGGTTCAACCTTGACGTCGAGCGGACTTCTGGACACTTCCTCCACCTGGGAGCCGCCAGATCACGTCCTGTTTTCGCGTTTTCGTTTTTATGCTGCCGTTTGGTTGTCCTATTCAACGGTCCGGTTGTATGACGCCTGGCACACGTATCGCTTTGGGTCACGGGATTGTTGATAGATTTTTTTTTTTACATGTTCTGGCTGGTTCTCCTGGACTGGTGACGGTGTTCAGGGGCTGGTTTGGCCAAGAGGTGCTGTCTTGATGGGCTCCTGTTGTGCCCTCAGTCGTGGTGGGTGGCTGGCTTCTGCTCTGCCGGAGGGCACTGGATGACTTTTGCGTTTTAGTTGGGGGCCGAGTTTTGGTTTTTCTACCCACTATTCTCTGTGTGGGGTGGGGCGGGTACTTGTCACCCTGAGGGACTCCTGGGGCTCTCCAATCATCTACCCGTTTGCGTTTCTTTACTGTGAGGCATAATAGTTTCAAGTGATTGGCGTCACTCATTTCGCGATTAGGCTTGGCGTTCCACTTTTGCCGGCTTTGCGATTAACCCATCACGGGTACACCAGGGTGCATTCGATCCCACAATCGTTGTTGCCCCTAAATCAACAACAACATGAGACCAGATGCTCTCTTGCTCCTGGTTCAGCCTTGATGACGAGCGGACATCTGGACTCCTGTTGTGCCTGGGAGCTGCAGATCACGTCCTGTTTTCGCATTTTGGCTTGAATGCTGCCGTTTGGTATTCCTATTCAATGGTCCGGTTGTATGACACCTGGCACACATATCACCTTGGGCCACGGGATTGTTGTTAGAATTTTTTTTTTACGTGTTCTGGCTGGTTCTCCCGGCGGGGTGACGGTGTTCGGGGGGCCGGCTTGGCCAAGAGGTGCTGGGGTTTGGCAGGTCTTGGTGGGCTCTTAGTGTGCCCTCAGACATGGTGGGCGAGCAGCTTTTGCTCTGCCAGAGGGCACTGGATGACTTTTATGTTTAATTGGGGACCGAGTTTTTGGTTTTGCTACCCAGTGTTCTCTGTGTGGGATGGGGCTGGTGCTTGTCACCCTGAGGAACTCTTGGGGCTCCTCCAATCAACTGCCTGTCTGTGTTTATTTGTCGCATGGCATATTAGTTTCTAGTGATTGGCATCCCTTGTTTCGCGATTTGGCTTAGCGTTTCACCTTTCCTGGCTTCGTGATTAACCCATCACGGGTACGCCAGGGCACATTCGATCCCACGATCGTCGTCGCCCCTAAATCAACAACAACAACATGAGACCAGATGCTCTCTTGCTCCTGGTTCAGCCTTTATGATGAGCGGACGTCTGGACTCCGGTTGTGCCTGGGAGCTGCAGATCACGTCCTGTTTTCGCGTTTTGGCTTTAATGCTGCCGTTTGGTATTCCTATTCAATGGTCCGGTTGTATGACGCCTGGCACACATATCACCTTGGGCCACAGGATTGTTGATAGAATATTTTTTTTGACGTGTTCTGGTTGGTTCTCCTGGCGGGGTGACAGTGTTCGGGGGGCTGGCTTGGCCAAGAGGTGCTGGGGGTTGGCAGGTCTTGGTGGGCTCTTGGTGTGCCCTCAGACATGGTGGGCGGGCGGCTTCTGCTCTGCCAGAGGGCACTGGATGACTTTTATGTTTAACTGGGGACCGAGTTTTTGGTTTTGCTACCCAGTGTTCTCTGTGTGGGGCGGGGCTGGTGCTTGTCACCCTGAGGAACTCCTGGGCTCCCCCAATCAACTGCCTGTCTGTGTTCATTTACCGCATGGCATATTAGTTTCTAGTGATTGGCGTCCCTTGTTTTGCAATTTGGCTTGGCGTTTCACCTTTCCTGGCTTAGCGATTAATCCTTAAAATTAATGGGTATGCCGGGGCGTATCCAATCCCACATTCGTCATCGCCCTTAACCCTTAACATGCTCGGGGTCTAATATCCTGCTATCCACACAGGCGCATGTCATTTTGAAAAAAAAAAAAATTTTTTTTTTTTGCTAATCTGTTAAGTTCTGTTCACTGATCACGGGAAAAATAAAAAAAAAATTCTATTGTACTTACTTTTGTTGCAATAGAGCCGAGAAGCTCTGCGATGACGTCACAATCTGCATGGTCGCTCATGCAGTACACGCCCGGGAGATGTTGCGCGCGGTCCTCAAACAGCCAGAGTTGCCACAAATATATTTTCGCGCTATTTATTTACAATGTCTAAGCGCATTTTATCTAATTTTTTTCACTAATTGTGTTTCAAATACTGTTTGAACATATTTTGTATCAATAATTGTTGCATATTTGAGTATACACAGGCGCACACAAATGTTTTCAATTACGGCAATATAATATGTCATTACAGTCTATTATATTATATGTTCGGCTTATATGTTTACATATTTACACACTCGCACACGCTATACACACTTTGAAGCACACTTAGAAGATTTCTAGACTGTGGTAGTCATTGAAGCAGTC